TACGTATACGGAGAGAGAGAGAGAGAGAGAGAGAGAGGAAAAGAAGAATGAACGTAAAATCTGGAAGAAGACGTCTATCGTGAATCGTTTATATGGAGTTAGGATGAGAGTGCTTAATCCGTACAAGTAGTCGTCTATGAATCGTGGGCCGTTTCTCGACGACGACTCTTGCGTTGCGAAACTTCACGCGCGTTAATTCGGGACGACAACCAGACGATTGTCAAAATTCTTACTCGTGCAGTGTTGCGTTCAGTATGCGAGTTAAACCAAGTAGCAGAAAATACAGAGAACATGTTCGAAAGAGATCGAGGCATCGCTTGTACAAGCGTAAATTTGTCGGTGAACGTACGTTTTCGTAACGAGAAATAATCAACGATGTATAAATTTGTACAAAGGAGACGAATAAAGCAAGGGGGAACGTACGAATTCCTGTTAAACGTAAGTCAAGATATCGAATAAGGAGAGAGAGAGAGAGAGAGAGAGAGAAGGAAAAGGAACAAAGGGAAAAAAGGGTGAGAGAAATCGTGAATCCTGTTTAGTCCTGTTATGTTATTTATCATCGGTGGAAATGCGGGAAGCCATCGTAAGCCCCACTGGACTTGTTCTTATGAGGTCCTCGAAACCGGCACCACCCCTCCAGGGAATCCGAGAGCAGGGATTCTCTTCCCTGCATCGCATTTTATTTCGACCAGATAGACGTTTGCTCTCCTTCGTTCTTTGATCTCTCTATCCTTCTACGTCATTTGCAACTACGCCGAAGAAACTACGAGAGGAGGAAACTTGATAATTTTCTCGAGATGTTTGCTCGAGATGCCGTAAAAATACGAGAAGAAAGAAACTGGTGCTGAATAAAATAAAAATACAGTTGTAACAGCGAGCGGAAGGGTGTGGCGGAAAGAAGTTGGCAAGAAAAGTTGAAAAATGAGAAGAGCGATGACAAAGATGGAAAAAGACGTGAACGAATGTTATTGTTGGTTGATCGATCGGGATAGGATCGATCTATTTCCACGCATTTTTGCTTTTAATTTGTTCCGTTCAATCTCCAACTAATTTGCAATTACGACAGAGAGAGGGATTTTTTAATTAACGAGGAAATAAATTACATTGATATATCGAAACTAACGACGAAGTTTTCGGTCTTTCTTCTTAAACAATTATCTGTTATTCCTACAATCTTTCTTTCCACTCGCAATTCGAGAAAAAAACTTTCCACCACTGTATAAAGTGAAGAGAGAAGGAGGGCCAGCCATTCTTGCCATTCCTTCTTTCCAACACAGTAGATAATCAACACAAAGAGAAAGATGAGAAGAAAGAGACGCGTGTTCCGGATGAAAATGAACGGGAAATCGCGAAAGGAGAGAAGGGGGATGACAACAGGGCGGGTAG